ATTGTCGGTGAAATGAACTTGTCGGTGAATTAATTGTCGGTGAACTAAGATGTCGGTGAAGTGATTGTCGGTGAAATTATACGTATCCATAGTAAAGTAGTACTGTACGGCAGGGACACGGAATTTATGCGATAAGAATTTGTAAATTATGCGTGTGGTAAATATGAAATATTCGATTTACTGATGATTAAAAATTAAAAGTGCGATTTAATAATGTTTACTAAGCATTTTTATCTCATAAAAAAAAAAAAATCTTACAATTTTTTAAATACTGCGCTCAACTAAACAAAAACTTATCTGTTTCTAATTATTTATTGTTAAAAAACACTTTTTAATAAAAATTTGTTAAATATTGTGTTCAGCTAAACAAAAATTTATTTGTTTCTGATTTATTTATTGTTAAAAAAACACTTCTTTTAATAAAAATTTGTAAGCGTATCAGAGTAATTAATCTAAAAATAAAATTATTCATATTTAACGATATTATCTTAATTATTTTTAATTAAGTACCCGTTGTTGTTCTTTTGAACTATTAAAAATAGCAAAATTCTCTTTCTAATTTTGAAGACGAATTGATTTATGGTGTTTTAGCATACTATATAAATTAATATACTACTAGAATATCATAGTCTATTATACATCTTAAAATATTACGATACTAAAAATTTAAAATGAGTGCACATGACACTAACGTAATATAAGTGAAGCAAAATTATGTAATTTAGTGTGATTTTGTTTTCACATTAAATCACATAATTTCCGTGTCCCCAGGGTTGTAAAATTACGGTAATTTATGGTAAGTTACCAAAATGGTAACTTACCGGTAACTAACTGTAAGTTTCGTACAACGTATTTAGTTCAAAATCAACAAGATTTTAAGATCTTGTATAACAAATCAAAATTTTCGTTTATCGCTATGAAGTTACACTATAAATGCTATTTTATAGTAGCATTAACCTTGTAGGCTAAATTTTTTAATTTTACACCGAAACAAATAATTTTAACAATTGTTAATTTATCAATTCGATAATTTGCAATTTTGTCTGGTTTCTTTATAACTATAAGTTTTTGACAACTAAGATTTTGTTTTTCCAATTCTATTATAATATCCAAGCAAATAAGCAAGTAAAATAATTTCTTCGTATTTGTAAATTTTTATTATTAGTTAATATTTAACTTTTTATTTTTAATTCAATATTTTATTTTAATTATTTATACTTACACTTTCGACAAAGAATGTTCTTTCAATTTTAATTATGAATCACCACAAATATCTATGCATTCATTTTCATCATATGTAATTAACTCATTGTCTGAAAATAAGTTGTTAAATACATTTTCTTCTAAATCTTCATTATCCATCATCAAATCTTCAACAAAATCTATATTTTTATTTAATTCATCTATTCGACCCAGTTTTCTTAAAATTTGTAAGTTCCATTAAATATAAACACATTTTCTACTTTTGGATCATTAAGTTTATTATGCAGTTTATTATGTATAAAGCCAAAAGTTGACCAATTTCTTTTGCAAGTTGCTAAAGTAGGTGGTATTGATAATATGCATAATGTAATCTTATTTAATATAGAATATCTACCTTTCAATAAACCCCACCAATTAATCAGATTTTGTACAAGATTAGAATTCTATAAATATGAACGTGCAAAATATCATTTTTTGAAAACATATTTTGTATATTCATTTAATATAATTTCTTGATCTTAACTTAATACTAATCATATTAATTCATCTTCAATAATCATATCTCACTTTTTTGGATTTGAAGTTTTGTCTTGATATTGAGAATTGAGTTTGTATACCAATATAATTACCAGATTATAAAGAAAGTTATTTCATCATTCTGTTCCTTTACTAATTGAATTAGTTTTAAAGTTATTTAAAATTTTAGTATTTTTAGAAATAGAAATTTTTAGTTTATATAACTCTAAATAAATAGTTAATAGGCAAATCATGAGTCATCTGAACAAATATATTTTTTTTATATATAAATTTTACTATAAGTCCGAATGTGGAGTGCTTCTATCTAAAACTTTTTTTTACTAAGTAAATCACTCTTGGGCTTGTAATAAAAGTTGTAAAGCTTATCAAGAAATATCTAATGGTAGTAAGAACATTAAAATTAGCTTGGTAGTTCTTGAGAAATCTTTAAA